TAGAAGTGATGGACATAAAGATAATAAAGTTAGAAAGGGTGATGAATAGATTGTTTCACGGCACATAAATTAAGTCAAATTGAGATGAAATGAGAGAAAAATCATCATCAAAACACCTCGGTAACAAATTTTGCTGCCATGATCCATAGACAGAGGTAGTTAGTTGTCTATGGGTAGTTGAGAAAGAAAAGGCATTTGCATAAAGTATTTCCCGGAAGACAATGATTAAATGAAAGGGGGAAATGGTGAGTTTGTGGTACAGAAAGCTAGCAAGGCCATCTTAGCCAGATGACCAACATCATTATAACATTCCGAAGTCACAGACCAGACAGGATGGCCCAGGAGGGCCACGCTTAGATCACTGTGGGACCTTGGATGTAACAGGAAAATTGACTAAAGCAAGAAAACTAGTGAACTAAAAAGATAGCCTGTAGTTTAGTTAACTGTAGTATGCCACGGCTAATTTACCCAATTTTGACCACTGTAACACTTGCAACGCATTAACATATAAGGAATCTGGGTGAAGGTTACTGTTGCAAATTTTCTGTAAATGAAACTGTACATCTTGAAAATTAAAAGTCAAGGGGGGGAAAGGTGCTTCTAGATCATTCCACACTTCCTGTGTGTGTTTGGCTTACACTAGGGGTTAATGGTCGACAGAGAACTGAGTGGGTTAAAAATGGACAGAGCAACTGGCCAAATGTTTAGCCAAATGACAGGATCAAAGGAAATATACCAGATGTTTGGCAACAGCCCTACATAGGAGGCTCCTCCGCTCAGCAGGGAGTCCACAAAGGAAACCAGAGACATCAGCTCTGCTTTCAACCACAACATAAAAATGGCCTATAAATACGCATCCTCATGGAAGAATTCCATTTCCATTACTATTTCTGAACCTTCTAGAACAAGAAGCCCACCATCCCCTAGAATTTGGTTGCATCTGTACATTCATGACCTCACATTGATCTACATAAATGTTTAATTTTAGCAAATGTTGACATGTCAAAATACACGCCTTTTAAACTAATTTCAACCCAGGGAAGTATCCCCCCTAAATAGATCGTCACTAAAAGTTGTTCTTTACTTTTGCTCAAAATTTTTACTTCCTAATCATCATCAAATCTGTTTTATCAAAGTGTTCTCCTTATTTAAAAAAAAAAAAAAAAAAGGTGTAATATGAAAATCCAAGGAGACTTAAAGGTTGGGGCAGAACTGTAGAGGAAACCCCATGGGTAGTCCTGGATGGTGGCTCTATTTGTTTTTGAGGTGGCTCTATTTATTTTTTTGTCACTTCTCAGGACGTTTATTGTACATCTAGAAATAATCATGGTCATTTTATATCAGACCCTCCCTGCAAATGTCTGCACCATTATTTCTTATGACCAAGGAAATGCTTGGGGAAAAAAATATATCAAGCAACTAGCCTAGCCTTTGGCTAATCCTCCTTTTATAAGTGCCAGTACTTAGGGTGTTTGTCAACATTCGAAGGCGTCTGAGCATAAGCTTGACCTCCTTTAAAAAGCTTGCTTCTGAAGATAATTCCAACCACTGATTTTCACGGATCGGAGCACTTGCAGAATCGCATTTCTTAGCCCCAATCAAAAAGACTAAGATTCAATACTATAGGTGTGTATGTAAGCGTGACTTCTGAGAAGTCAGAGCAAAGAAAATCTTAAAAGACAAAAGTTACATGAGAAAACTTTCCTAAGAATTAATAACCAAGGCTACCCACACTATGCGCTATTATAAAGTGGAGGAGTATGATGACAGAGATCACAGACAACAAGAGACTTCTAAAAGAGACACAGAAGGGCTCAGAAGGAAATAGCGGTATTTTAAATGCCCAAAAGTGGGAACGTGTTTTATTTACCAGGACACTATTTCCTATTCACTTGCTGACCTTCTTAGAAAGAAACAGACAGCAGACAATCCACATATTCAATATCATATGACCCACATACTAATATCATATGACCCACATACTAATATCATAGGATCCACATACTCAATATCATATGACCCACATACTAATATCATATGATCCACATACTAATATCATATGATCCACATATTAAATATCATATCATCCACATATCAAATATCATATGATCCACATACTAATATCATATCCACATATTAAATATCATAATACTGCTTACTACCTACATCAAATATTGATTTTCTTTTGAAACCTGGAAAAGATGAATTGCCAACCAACCCCAGCGAACACTCTTTTAGGTACCCAATGCATGGATTTCTGAGACTGGAGATGGTGGCTTCATTCATTATGTCCCATGTATAGTTGCAATCTATCAAACTAGGCAAGAGGAAGCCATGCCCTGAATTCTTCCAAATTCTGAGGTGCGAGCTGTGAAATCCGGATATTTAAACGGATCGCACATGTTTGGATGGCAGTGGATGTTTTAGACAAGACTGTTTTGACTTGTTTAGTGCCCCACTAATCAGGGACCACTAAGAGGGAGCCAAGAGTGTCTACTTCCCATCAAGGACAGCGTCAGCATCCGCGATGATGTCTCTCTTGAGTTGTTCAGTGCTCTAAGTAATTCAAGTAGTCTACTCAAAACAGGGTAGTCATTAATGCACATGATGGTCAAGGCCTGGCAGTCTTACCCCACACCTGGCAGGCACATCTGTCCACCCGTTACCATTCCCCAGTCTCAGCCAGTGTTGGCAGGCAGTAGAGCCGGAAGTTGGAAATAAAGTCATACCTGAAACTTCTTACATTAGAAACGGTGACACTTCTTTCCTTCCAGAAGTTCTATTGTCACCCTTTTGCTAAAAATCCCATTGGTCTGAGCACATTCTTGTGGCAGGAAGAACACCCTACTTATCTCTGTGTTTCCAAAGCCTGGTGTGTTACCAACACAAAGTTTGTGCAAGTGAGCTGAATTTGGCTCTTAAAACTCCTGCAATTTTATCTTGGCTATTTTATAATCTTAGTAGGAATCCATTAATTCCCACAAGAAATATTTAATTGGCTACTACAATATGCCAGAAATGTCTTTGCTACTGGAATACAATGGTGGGGGAATGAGCAAAGCATAGAGATGGGGGGCTATATTATATTTTGGTGGGAAATAATATGACCCCAAACTGGAAACCAGATAAAGTAGGTATAGTAGAGGCCTAAGGAGGAAGCGAGTTAAGATTAGCTTTGATTTCCACATATGTTAGTAGGAGCTCAAGAGTCCGAGCCCATAATCACATGCCCAGGGCCAGACAGCTCACCACTCCACAAGTAGGCAATAAATACATAAGCCATTTTTAGGAAACTGTGCTCATGAAAGAGAGAGTGCATTCCTCCAAAGTAGAACAATACCATCTTGCTTCTTGGCTTGAAAGGAAGTATTGATCAGTAGCTAGTAAGTCAAAGGTTAATAACTGGGTCTGATAATTCCTGTTATCAGACCCATGATTAATGGTGTGGTCTCCTCCGGCCCTTGGTAACACAGGAACCTCTATTTTCAATGCTTCTACTGAGGACCAAGTTAAGCTATTCTCCCAGGATTCTGCTGTTGGAAGGGTGTGGGGGTGCACGCTTCCATCCCCTGCTTCGAGGGAATAGAAAGCAAAGGGTCCTTCCTATACAGTGCAAAACAACCACCAGGGTTACAAATTTGGACCTGATTATTTTATGGTGAAAAGACTGACTCTCCTACTCTCATGCATTATCATTCCACAAGACCACATGCTTGGCTAATAAAACATCTCCCTCCAGTTCACTTCCAGCTCTCTGGCTGGTGCCCACAGACAGCTGCTAAGGCTTATAAACAGACAGCTACACCCAGGCCACTTAAGAATGTACAAAACTGGCCCCCGCCTTGCATCAAATCACATCTATTTAGTCACTAACAGTGTAAGTCATAATGGTCAAAGATGATGATGGGTCTCCTCTCTCTCTTTAAGAATTGCACAAGGAGAGTTTGTATCTTCAAACAGCCTTTAAGTGATGTGCATGACTCCTACTGCAAACTGGTCCATTTCTCACTGTCTGTATCAAAATGAGATTTGACTCAACATGCTCTCCTTGGAAGAAACAATAATTTCTTTGTTAGCTAAGCCCAGTGTCGTCCCTGAGCCAGTGTGGGTTGGCTCATCTCACAGATACCTTCCAAAGGATATTCTGTGGCACAATCACAAATTGATTAAATTGGGAAACAGAAGTAATTATAATCACATAAAGGTAAGCATGCGAGGAAAATCAAGTAGTTGAAAATAACAGTGATATAAAACGCCACGAGAGAAAATCCAGACACACCAAAGTGTAGGCTTCAAAACAAAGTAAGCATCCATTGATGTACTCATAGCAGATGGCAACACTTAGGCAAATGAACTTCCCCTAAATACACCAGAGAGCAAACCATCTCTTTTGTCCACCCATCTTTGATGGAGTTAGTGGGGCTCTATCTGACCTTGGTCCTGAGTAGAACAGACGGACCCTGTCAGAGCAATGTGATCCAGTTCCCTGGTTTACTAAACGCACATGGTGAGGGGTTATGCACGCCTTTCCACGCAAAGAAGTAAACAGGAACTGCTTTTACTGCCCTCATTAGATGGCATCATTCTTTACACTAGGAGTGAACTTCTTACGTCAGAGGAGGTTTCCTTCTGAGAGAAAGTTAAGCTCCAAATAGTTAATCTGGGTGTTTGAGAGAACTTTTTTTTTACTCTTTCCTCTGGCTTGTGTCTGGTTTTTAAATTACCCCAGTACCCCGTGAGGGCCTTCCACAGACGTGATGCGGGTGCCCAACTCATCATAAAGTTTCTCCAAGACTGCAAGCTTCGCCCCTCCACCACCACCACCCCCAAGCTCGCGCCCCGCTAGCCTCAGCCGGTCAAACGCTGACTTGCGCCCAGGCCATTCTCATTTCCAATCAGGACCACACAAACACACAGGTTCAGTTAGTCAACTCCTCAAACACACTTGCCAAAGCGCTGCCGCCCCTTCCCCCCCCTCTCCGTGCGGCTCGCCTCCGTACCTGCTGAGCGGGTGGCTGGCGGCGGCCCGGGGCGCGCAGCGCGGCTCTGCGCCCTGCGGTTGCGAGCGCGCGTGCGAGTGGTAGGCGGTCAGCACCACGCCGCCCGAGTCCTCCACCTCCATCCTCAGCCGCGCATGTCCCCGCGCCGACCCAGAACAAAGACCCGGACCAGCGAGGACCAGCGAGGACCAGCTCCCGGAGCGAGCGGGTCAGCGGCCCAGAGCGTCCGGCGCCCCGCGGCTCGGCGGCTGGCTAGGGCGGCCCCGCCCGCCCGGGGACCACGCCCACACAGCCCCGCAGACAGATTAGCATACACTGCGGGCCACGCCCACACAATGCAAGGAAGGATTAGCATACACGGAGGACACGCCCACACAGGACAGTGAATAGATTAGCATACACGGAGGGCACGCCCACAGAGTACAGTGAATACATTAGCATACACGGAGGACCACGCCCACAGAGTACAATAAGCTGATTAGCATACACTACGGACACGCCCACAGGGTACAGCGGACTTATTAGCATACGCCGATGGCCACGCCCACAGAGTACAATGCGCTGATTAGCATACACTGAGGACCACGCCCACGGGTCCCTGCTTCTAGGAAACTGGAAACCTGCCCGAAACTTGCGGCTCCTGCCAGCTGCCCTAGTAAAGTTTGTGTTTTTCTTCCTTTGTTCCTCTTTTCCTCTTCTCAACCTCCTGCTCGCCCCCTTCAAACGGGAGGCTTATCCCATGGCTAGGAACGTTTCCTGCCTGGCAGCCAGAAGTGAGACAGAAACCATGCCTGAGGCAAGGGGGTAGAGGCTAGGTCTGGAATGGGTGCTCTGGGGAAGAAAGGGGAGAAAAAAAAAAAAGTGACACTCTCGTTTAAACATCCGAATCAAAAACTGGAGAATTGGGTTCCTTGCTGTTTGCTAGTCGTTACAGTAAACCTGATTTCCCTTCTGCCCAGGCAGTCCCTATAAATGCAAGACGGCCCTTCCTTCCTGTACCCTCAAGACTGCAGCAGCCAGACCCTAACCTCATTCTTTACATCCCTTTCCTCCACCCAGGCCTGATCACACTGACAGATACTGTTTCCAGTCCGTCTGAAAGCTAGTCCTGATTGCCATGGGCTCAGTGGATGGTATGTATTTTCAGAGGGCCTTTTAAAGGAAGCGTAAATACACCAAGACACATGCACACGCGCGTGCACGCACGTATCCACACACACACACCATGTCCAAAAGTGCAATATAGTCTTTCCCCTGATCGTGTTTCTGACTTAGTGACCCTCTCTCTTCCCACCCCCCTGCTCCCCATGCCACTTTCTAGAAACTGCTCTTGCTTTTCTTACAGGAATAATCTCATTCTGCCCTGCAATTAGCAGTCTGCCCAGCCATGCCCCATGTGATTCTCTGCTCCAGCATCCTCTTGAGTGATTGCTAATGGATCATGGTCTTCCTCCCCCCCCCCAAAAGCCCAGATGGAACCAGGAAGCCCTTCTCAGAACACCGAGGTGCTCAAGAGCTCCTAGAGGAAATCCATTCCTAATTCAAGATCAAATTACTATTTTCCAGCCGGCTGGTTCCTCCTTCTTAACTGCAAGCTTCTGGAAGGGCTGGTGTCAGTTTTCATTTGTATGCCCCAGAGCCGCTCTTGTTTTGCATAGCAGACACTCCTGAAAGAGGATGTGCTACACAGGCTGGTGGTCCTGGGTTCTATAAGAAAGCAGGCTGAGCAAGCCATGGGTGGCAAGCCCATAAGCAGCTCCCTCCCTGGCCTCTGCACCAGCTCCTGCCTCCAGGTTCCTGCCCTGCTTGAGTTCCTGGCCTTGTTACATGAACCTGTGAAAGAATATGCTCTGTCCTCTCCAATTTGCTTTTTTGACCATGAGGTTTCATCACAGCAATCGTAACCCTAACTAAGGCAGAAAGGCTTGGAGGAGGAATGAATGAGTGGATAATGAGGGAACTGGTAAAGGAAATAGCTATCCCTAGTAGTAGTTCTTATCTTTCAGGTGAGCCACGAAATTTCTGTAAATGACTAACACAACTTCATAGCACCAAAACAAGAAGCAAAGACAAGTTCTTTATGTAGTACCATTTCCCAGATGTGTGCATGCGCTAATAGCTCGATTAAATACAATTCTTGCGTTTCCAGGTATCAGAAAGGATGCCAGACTGCACAGATTGTATGGGGAAATTGTATTATTCAAGCTGCTCCCATTAGCCCTTCAGACTGGCTGGCCTGATGTTACTTAAAGTGTCTGTCTAGGGGCTAGAGTCCATGCAGGTGTTTTATCCATGACTAACTCCCAGCCTAAACAGGCTAAGCAGTCAAGCACACCATGAAAAGCATTGGGGACTGAGGTGTAGCTCCACGGTGGACAGGCTGACCTCCAGGACTGAATGAAAAGAAAAAGCAGAGACACAGTCAAGGCTGAAATAGAAGAATTTCAGGCTGGGGAGGCCTTTGGTTTCCGAATATGCACCTGGCATCGTGGATCTAATAGAATTTATTAGCATCTTGACAGCCACAGGACTGTAGGGAACCACTGGCTAGGGATGGCAGTACCGGGCAGTGACAGCTGGTCAGATGGCACAGTAAGCAGACATGAGGACCTTCGGGAAGATAAAGTCCCCTGGATGGTGGGTGGACCCTGGGTATTTGCTCTGAAATAACACTTTCTGTTAGTGGGAGTGAGGGCAAATAGAAGCAAGTTTGGGTTTCCTATGACAAACACTGGGCTGAGAATCAGGAGACATGAGTGTCACGCCAGCAGATGCCCCCCCAGCAAGATGTTAAGTTTGTAGGCATGCTTCTGCACCTGTGGGGGGAAAAAGGAGGTAGCTACTACCTTGTGCCAGGTTCTGTCCCAGGTTTCCTAAGACATGAGATACAAAATGTAATAAAATGATTACAACTTGATTTACGTCTCTTTGTGTAACTTTTCATACACCTAATTTGGTGTGTTAATGGTTAAATATCACTAGCATAAAATTAATAGATGAAGTGTCAATTACATGTATTTTCAGTGTATAGTGCTTCTGTGTGTGTGTGTGTGTGTGTGTGTGTGTCATTTATTCTCTTCATCTGCCCTTGGAATTTGTTGAAGACTAACTCGGTCCTTTGCGTGCCTTGTAGATCTGTCAGTAGGGGGGCATGAGGGGCATTGAGAGCAGTAGACTGTGAAACTGTGTGCAGCAAGACTCTACTTTCTCAGAGAACAGAAGAGGAGCAACAGCCATGACGGCCAGAGAGCCGAGAATGGGTCTGCATTAGGGATTTGCTGGGTATAACGTTCTAATTTCCTAAATTGAAATACGAGGGCTGACCAAATACCCCCCACACACACACACACACACTAATGGAGAAAAAGCAAAGAGCCTGTCTTTAAAACATCTGTCACACTGCTAAACATATCTGTGCTGACTACTCTTATCTGGACTTGACACAAGCTAGAGTTATCTGCTTGTGTTAAGGAAATGCCTGCCTCCATAAGATCCAGCTGTAGAGTATTTTCTTAATGATGGATGCGGGAGGACCCAAGCCATTGTGAGTGGTCCCATCCCTGGGTGGTGGGTGGGCTGGGTTCTGTAAGAAAGCAGGCTGAGCAAGCCCGTAAACAGCCCCCTCCATGGCCTCTGCTTCAGCTCCTGCCTCCAGGTCCCTGCCCCGTTTGAGTCCTTGTCCTAACTTCCTTCCATGATAAACAGTGTTGTGGAAGTGTAAGCCACATAAGCCCTTTCCTCTCCAGGTTGCTTTTTGGTCATGGTCTATAATTGAAGCACTGGAAACACTAGCTAAGACAATATTATACACACTTGAATGTTGGCTTCCTTCTCTCTTTTTCAATTCTCCCTTCACCTGGCCACCCTTTTAACCCTTCCCAAAATATCCTTGTAGTTCAATCCTCAGAGATAAACAACCCAGATTTGGAGATCCCTGGGACATTTCACAAACTCTTCCGAGAGATGAGGCCTACTGGAAAAAGTCTCGCTGGACACCAGGGCGCCCCAGCTCTGGGGATTCTGTAGTATGGAGATAACCCAGCGTGCCCAGTCCTATCAGGAAATGCAAAAAACAGGACATTGATGTAAAACCTTCATGTGGACAAAAGAAAAGTACCCCTGGGGCCCTCCTGCTTATCTGGCAGAAGAGCTGCTTGGCTAATCACGGAGTGCCAGGATCGGGAAACAGCTGCAGCTGTTGGAGGGACCCCGCCGCCACAGGCTGAAGTCTCGCAGCAAGACGGCTGGAGGCCACAGGGTCTCTGACCCCGGTCTACAGGAAATGAAGGCATAGTTGTAGTGTGGCACTCGGGTCCTGGCAATGATGCTCACTTCGCCTCACCCCGCCGCCACAGGCTGAAGTCTCGCAGCAAGACGGCTGGAGGCCACAGGGTCTCTGACCCCGGTCTACAGGAAATGAAGGCATAGTTGTAGTGTGGCACTCGGGTCCTGGCAATGATGCTCACTTCGCCTCACCGTGCCTCCACGTCCTCCGGAAACAATGAGACATTGAGAGGAAAGAATCCACAACCAGTTTTAGATGGAGAAGGAATACTTTGATAAAGCAAGGTTTCTTATTTGCTTGTTTTTCATTCGTTCGTTTGTTTTTGAGACAGTTTCTCGTCTATCCCAGGCTGGCTTTGTTGAGCCTTCAGTGTGGCTAAGTATGCCTTGAACTTCTGGTCCATCTGATGCCACCTGAGAGAGCCTGGATCACAGGTGCTGGGCGTGGAATCTAGCACCTCAGCAAGCACGCACACCACCATCCAAGCTTCCTCCCCAGCCCCAAACAAGTGTTTCTTAAAGTGTCTGAAAAGGTTTTGTGTGGCTCCTCCATCGTCTGTTAGGGTAACGAAACTTAAACCGCTCCTCCTAAACATTTTTAAACCTTTATCAGGGCACTACTCAAATCACAGAAGTTCATTTTCTGAGTCTTCTCAGAATGACTCAGAATTTTCAGACCAGTCTGACTTTTTGTATTGCTTCCTCAACATCTGTTTTTTAGGGAGAAATTGGAGCTATTTTTCTTCATTAGCCATTCTGGGCTCTGTGATCAATCTGGTAATTGGGTTAAGCAGATTATATCACCATGAGAGGCAGTCAGCCGGGTCACAACGAGTTATTTATGTGATGGACACAACTGAGTCACATAAGAGACTTGTGCAGATAAATTGAATCATTATTGATTGGAAATAAATCACTGCTAATA